ACGCTAGGCATAAGTGTTTCCTATTTTCTTCATTAATGCCATAGCACTCTACCCAGGGGGACAGCTTGAGGCTTTGCCTCAAAAAAAAAAAAAAAAAAGCATAAGCCATCCTTATGTTGTCTCCAGGAGACATACTTAGCCCTGAAAGACAAATCAAGACTCAGGGTTAAGGGATGGAAAACAGTATTTCAAGCAAATGAAACTCAGAAGAAAGGAGGGGTTACAATCTTATTCTCAGATACAAGCGGATTCAAAGCAACTATAGTCAAGAAAGGCAAAGATGGATACTTCTCTGACACTGATCAAAGGAACAATACAACAAGAAGACATCTCAATTTTAAATATTTATGCACCTATCTTAAATGCTCCCAGATTTATGAAACAGACCTTGAGGGGACTGGGCAATATGATATCCCGTAACACCATAAGAGCCAAGGACTTTAACCCACCTCTCACAGAACTGGACAAATCCTCTAAACAGAAACTAAACAAGAATACAAAAGACTTAAATGTGACCCTAGAACAAATGGGATTAATTAACATGTATAAAACATACCATCCCAAAACAAAAGAATATACTTTTTTCTCATCAGCCCATGGCACATACTCCAAAACAGATCAAATCCTAAGATACAAATCAAACCTCAGCAAAATTAAAGGAATAGAAATTATACCTTGTCTCTTCTCAGACCACAAAGCTTTAAAGGTGGAACTTAACTCCAACCAAAACATGCATCCCGACAGAGAGGCATGGAAATTAAATAACCTTATGCTGAATGATAGTTCAGGAAGAGATAAAACAAGAAATCGTTAAATTCCTCAAGCATAACAACAATGAAAACACAACTTACCAAAACCTGTGGGATACAGCAAAAGCAGTCCTGAGAAGAAAATTTATTGCACTAGATGCCTACCTTCTAAAAAAAGAAAAAGAAAGTAGGCACATCAACATACTCACAAACCAATAGAATTGGAAAAAAAAGAACAATCTAATCCAAACTAGTCAGAGGAAAAGAAATATCCAAAATTAAATCAGAGATTAATGAAACTGAAAACAAAAAAATCATTCAGAAAATTAACAGAACCAAAAGTTGTTTTTTTGAAAAATAAATTAAATAAATAAACCTTTAGCCAACTAACTAGAAACAGAAAGGTAAAATCTCTAGTAACCTCAATCAGAAACGATAAAGGGGAAATGACAACAAATGCCACAGAGATACAAGAGATTATCTATGAATACTACAAGAAACTCTACACCCAGAAATCTGACAGTGTTGAAGAAATGGATCAATACTTGCAATCATACCCTCTCCCTAGACTTAATCAAGAAGAAATAAGTCTCCTGAACAGAGCAATTTCAAACACTGAGATCAAAGAAACAGAAACGATTAAAGAAAAAAAACCTCCCAACAAAAAAATGCCCTAGTCCAGATGGCTTCACATCAGAATTCTATGAAACCTTCAAAGAAGAGCTTATACCCATACCACAGAGACTATTCCAAAAAATTAAGAATGAATCTTCCCCGACATGTTCTAGAAGCAAAGATCACCCGGATACCAAAAGCAGGAAAAGATCCAACCAAAGAGGAGAAATTCAGACCAATTTCACTAAAGAATATAGATATAAAAATTATCAATAAGATCCTAGCCAACAGATTATAGCTTCTCATTTAAAAAGTCAGATATACGATCAAGTAGGTTTCATCCCAGAGATGCAAGGCTGCTTTAACATACTGCAAATCCATAAATATAATTCACCATATCAACAGAAGCAAAAACAAAGTAAGAAGGAAGGATTATATGGACACTGATGTGGTCCTCTGAACAGATACAGAAAAAGCATTCAATAAAATTCAACATCCTTTTCTAATTAGAACTCTGAATAATATAGGCATAGGTGGCACTTTTTTTTTTTTTTTTTTTTGA